AGAGTATATTTCATCAAATGATCAACACTGTGATATGTAAAGTATATTAGTATAGCATAATAGTATGCTGATTAGTATCTTAGTATCATGAGAGGGACAATGATTTGTCATTCTCATCATTAATATTGACCAGGTAGAGATTATTTAGGCCTTTAATCATTATACATTTAAGTATGCATTTGAAAAGTATATTAGTTAATGTGGACTAAGTCAAAAGGTTAGTATTCTCCTTAAGTGAACTGGTTTGATGGCCAACATCATAACATGAAAAACTATAACACATGATTCGCCATTTAATGTCTTGACAACAAAATCTTTTAATCGCTTTCACTTAAGGTGTAAACAAGTCAAGAAATTTAAGAGCTAAATTATACATCAACAGTCAGTTTACATCATTAAACAGACGGAAGAAAAGTTGAACATTACAATTTATCATGCATATAGCATAAAAAAAGGTATGAATTACATAAGTACAAAACTCGTTATAGCAAAAATGCCACAGGCAAACAAAGTTAACATATAGCCTCTCATATAAGTGCATCCATTTCAAGTTGCCACACTTCATAGTAGTATATAAAGCACAAGTGTATAGAAAAAGACTGATATTAAAGTAGACAAGGATGTATGCAAAGGGGAGAAGGAATTCAAAAATGAAGAAATGAATACATCTGCGCCACTGAGACCGATTTTCAGTCCTCATCCACTCACTCCCATCATTTCAGGGACCTTAACAAGGTGGCCTACACCACCCTACACGGCTCAGATCAAGAATCAGAGACTTCATGCACTGGAACCACGACTTAGGCTGGCCACCAATATAAACATATATTACATACGTATAGTAGTGAAAGAGTATTTAACCGGTGTCTTTATCTATCGAAAGACCCTTGGCGTCTTCACCTAGCAGAACACTATCGTCTGCATACTCCAAATCAACCACGTTGCGTCCAGGAAGTAGATCAATCCCTGTGAAGTCACCCGTACATAAGGTCATGTCCATCACTACGTCTATAACGAAGATAAACGGAGACAGTGACAACGAGTATCCCTTGCGAACACTAGTTGTCGTCCCTTCTGATGACAACTCGTCATAAGCCCTGATAAGGCTGAGCGATTTCGAGGAGATAGCTTTGATTGCGTTATATGCTTTCTCGGTACTCCCTCCATAATCAGACACTCCCATAACACCTCAAGGTAGACAGAGTTAAATGCCGCATTTAGGTCAACAAATATGGCAAGTGTCGGTGTCGGTTGCCGGTATGTCTGTGTTCCATAACCTGTCAAAGGGTGGAAATTTAGTCGATGTACCCTCGTCTAGGTTTGGAACCAACCTGGCTTTCTTGAGCTTCAGTTGGGCGTCGGATGACTATGACCCTAAGGATCTTGGACATGATGTTAGTCAAACTAATTCCCTGAGGATTGCCAAAAGAAAATTTCTCTTCTCTCATATAAACTGAAATCATCAGTGAAGTTCACCAGTTCGATGGGATTAAGTTCGACGAAAGTTGGAGGACCAACACCTACATACAATTCAGGTCCAGACTGGATGTTGGGCAACTGAAGCGTTGTTGTAGGACAGTTGAACTGTACTTCGGAATGTCCTGTTCAAAGTTCTAGCCGTCTGTCCTGCAAGGTTATCAGCTTTCCATTCTTTTCGGTGGTAGTTATACTAACAATCGTTTTCTTCTTGTTGGTATCCTGAGTAAGGCTGAATAATTGCTGAGTGTTACCTAACGCTGATGCCTCCTACATCTCTTTCGCTTTCACCACCTATCACCGCTCCCGATTATTGCGGAGACCCTTATTCAGTTCATATTTAAGTTGTTTTCCCTCATCATTGTGGTCAGAGCCAGTTGGAATCAGTCTTCTCGCATTAATCAGTTAGGATGACGTTGCGAAAATCCAATGACATTTGCAGTCGGTGGGTGAATAGGCGAAGATTATGAAGAGGCATTGCCAGTCTCACGATCCTCCTTTGTCCTCACTGATTTATTCAGTCGAATAGCACATAGACGCCAGCTGACTGGTACCCAGTCGAGAAGCGCGCTTCTGCTGTGTATGTCAATCTTATATCTAAACCAGTCAGACTACCAGAGCTAGCCAATAGGTTTCAGGATTCATTACAATGGCTAGGTGGGACCAGTTTAAAAACACTCGGGTCCTGTATATGTATCACAGGGACACAGCATATATCCATGGTTCGCAATTCAAGAGTTTCAGTGAGCACTGCCTGCTGTCCAACTTTGCAAAGAGCTTGGACGTTGAAAGCTCCAATATGAAATCGATGGCGGTGTCTTGGGGAACTAGGAATGAGGTTATGATGGCCTTTATTGTTCCCAGTGGTCAGAGAATGAGAGGTTAGGGATGGTGTAAGAGGCTCAATATTAATATCAGGAGCTGAGAGCAAGGAGTAAGACAGAGTTGATGAGGATATGTTATTTTTAGTTAGCTCTTGCGTCCAACTGGAAGCGTGCGCGTCGTTGATACTTTCCGGTTGCCATAGCGTGAAAGGCTATCTCTTGTGTGACCGCAGAGTCCATGGGATATCTGTTTAAGCCTTGTAACACCGGATAGAGAAAACCCATACCACCGCCACCGGAAGACCGTGAAGGAGGGAGCAATGTGGTATTTTGAGGGCAACATCGGTGTGATACTAATGGTTATCCGAGGGAGACCCTTACCACTGTCACACCTCATCTAGCCAGCAGTACGACTTCAACCTCGGGACGTCGTAATAGAGCAGCAATTTACGTTACAACTGTAACTGCTTTTCATCCTACCACTAACCAACAGACCTTTTGGTATAGTAGGACCTACATGGAACAAGCGTTCCAGTTAGTGTAGCTCACTGGGCCTTTTTGATATACAAGACCGACCATCACGTCAAGGTACCAATTATGGTCGCAACACAATAGGGTGTTCTGAGTAATTAATTGACGTAAAAGTAGTTTTTTAGTCTGCATCGATATTGGCTACAAAAATACCGCAAAGCTGGTTCGTCTACATGAAGTCATGAACAAGCTCTGCTGCATAGACCCAAACTAAAATGAAACAAATATCTAGCAGTCTCTGATACCCAATATTTATCCACTGACGAGAACTATTTCCATGTATACTCCCCTATTTATTAGGTTTCAGTAAAAAAAAAAGACATGAATGGCGGAAAGGATAAATAAATGAACAGTAAAAAAACAGATAAGATCTAGAAGAGGACTGAAAGCAGAAAAGTCTTCATGATTGTGCTTCATATCATCAATGTTGTCAAACATCAATCCATAGCATCTATTATTATATCATTCTTTATCCATTGGGAATATAGGGCTTCAGTAGCACGCCTCCACTGCACTCTCTTCTCTACAGTCTTTTCAACATGGATCCACTACTGCCCACAAGCTTTCATTTCTTCCTCACACTATCGCCTCCATATCACCATCACCTCGGATGCCCAACTCGACATTTTCCCTTTGGATTCCACTCGAGGGTCTGGCTTGGGTCGTGATGTCCCACATGGTCTTCTCAGTGCATGCCCAATCCATCTCCACTTCCTTCTAAGTATTTCTTGGTTGGTTTGTTGTGAGGACAGCCAGAATTCCTTGTTGGTTATTCTTATTACTCTGGCCATCTGAGCTTCAGTAACGAGCCAGTGTAGACAGTTGTTAATGAATATCTGTAGTTTGTTGGAAGTGCCTTTCGTAACGCACCAAGTCTCTTAACCATCACATAGAAGCACTGACTTGACTGAATTAGTGTCCAAAATCCGGATGTTGTTCACACTTTGTGGTGAGTGCAGAAGATCTCCACACTGATTTCAGGTTAATGAACGCCTGTCTTGCTGTGTTTTCGATCCTGGCTGGTTTTGACATCTTCGTCTGTGCCTGTGGCGCCTGTAGTTGAGAGGATGCTGCCTAGGTGGGTAGGCGGAACAAACTACTTCCTTTAAGTTTCTCCCGTTGATGGTGATGGGAGCTTGTTGTTGTTGGTGGTGGTGTCGGTGTTGGTTGGGTATCTCATCACCTCTGTCTTCTCTCCGTTCACTTGAAGTCCCTTCTTCGCTGCCTTCCCCTTTCTGTCAACTTGTTAGCTTTTGCTTATAGATCTTCGAGTTGTGCGACAAGATATCAGACATAAATCATCGTCGGCGAAATCGAAATCTTCTCCTGGGTTCTTTTCATTGGTCAAACAGCGTATGCCCATCTTCTCTCTCCTCACGGTTTACTGCATGATCCAGTCGACCACAATCAGGAATACCATGGGTGATTGTAGACAGCCTTGTCTCACTTCTGTCTCCTATCTTCAGTTGAAAGGTATCATTGACCTTCCCATTGTGAATTACTTGGCATGTGGCGTCTTCATATGGTTGCTGAATGAGGTTGATAAAGGTTTGTGGTATTCCGTAGTGTTGAAGCAGTTTCCAAATTACTTGTCGGTCGACGCTGTCGATGAAGTTGACGTATAGAGTTGACTGCCATTCTATGCTCTGTTTTATGATGATGCGAAGCATTGCAATTTGGTATCCATAGCATATAGTGAACCTTATTTACATAGCTAGTTTGCACTTCTTTGAATGGTTTAGACAGAAAGTTAATGAGTCCACTATTTTTAACCTCTTAACTTGACGTTTTTTTGGAATTAATCGTATTACACCAGACATAGTAGGTGGTTAAATATATAGACAATACATTACTCGAATAAATCTTCATAACTCCACTGATTAACTCACTTTCCCTTCCCCTAAACTTTATTTGGACAATTTGAGCCATGCATTGATATTACTTACAATCAAAAAAATAAGGTAACCTATTTTTGAGTTTTTCTATCTCAAATGTTCATATCGTAAAATTATAGAAGAACAAAAATAAAAGGAAATATAAGTTCATGATATTAATTCCTCAAAGTATGTATGCTTCGAGAAAGGCAGTAAATCAAACTCCAAGTTGAAGATTATAGTATCAATGGATTCTCTTATAAACCGATACAATAACATTGGTTGCACAACTCACCGTACTTCTTTAATCTGACGAATAGCCTGACTTAAGTCTTCACGTATAACATCATGACATTGTATGGCCTCAAAGAATGTTGAAGACTTCTTGGAAACCTATAAATTATAATAAAACATAAGCTATGCAGGCAAAATCAAATGAAATTTTATTTATTTATAACAAATATGAAAGATTTGTATACACTAGGCTAAAAATAAAATCCTATAGACATGGACATTATGAAGATAATCATTCAATTGATGAAACGCACATTTATCAGCGTAGAATGTAGGTCATGGTGCCTCCCCATATCAGTTACGCAAAAGTTAGTTACAGAGTTTTAGACAGAGGAAGAAAACCATTTGATGAGATTGAGAACCTTCATCGATTGAGTTGTCTGAGACCTGTGTTACGTATGCCTAGTCACCGTCTGTCTCTTCGTATAATGTTGTCTAAAGTTGGTGTAAGCTGAAAAAGATAAAAGACGATCACAACAAGAGACATCAGTCTATGAAGTCTCTGATTGTTAATTTGAATTGTGTCGTGAAATGTAGACTTCCCGACTAGAATCTGTATCAGTGTTCTACTGAAAACGCTGACTTTGTTCCTAGACGTATTGCAGCGTTTTGAACTTCATGATGACTTATCATTTGTTGTGCATCTTATCACTTCGGCTGATCGAAGTGGGTTATTGTTTGAGTCACAGGTATCTTTTCGAAGATTTACATAACCAGTTAGCTTTGGTCTTCTCTAATCATTTCCTTTAAACGACATCTGACGTCCATAGAGTTTAGCAGAATGGATAACTGTACAGTAAGTAAGAATAGAGATATCTGACGACTGTTGTAGGTTAGTGAATTTGCTAACAGTGTGACGAAACGTTTGTATCCATCTGTAGATTTCGCTGACCATCAGGGTTAATGTAATAGCCAACTCAACCATTTCAATATGAATGCTAACAACTATTGTAACGATTCTGCAGGTGGTTTCCCAAAAGGATATAACTTTTTCCTAAATATTTTCCCAAATTGTTGCCTCCGCATACTTTTAGTGAGTTAGTATAAGTGGGATAGTGTATGTGATTCACTGATCACTAAACGTTGTAATCACTCACTTTCAGAAGTAAATGTGTGATAAAGTTGAATGGAGGTAGGGTAATGAGATATGAAATTTCCAGCGGAATTTACTGCTCATAATCATATCTAGGCAATTACACAACTTTCTGATCTAACTTTTATAGTTCTCTTGTTTTTTATTCTTTGACGTAAGTCTCCACACATCTAGAACCGGCGTTGCACTATTTCGATCACTTGTGTTAGGCACAAAATCGATGAACAGAGATTCAGTGACCAATCTCTTCCTCTATTTATGTACAGTTTTAGGGGGTGTAACTCTGTCCTACCCTGTTGTGTGGTTGCATGTTTATTGTATACATAGCTGTAGGTGAATTCTTCTCTGAATTTCTCATCTATCAATCTAGACAACCGTATTCCTTGTTCCATTTAACATAATGACCCTGTTCAGCTAGTTTGACCTAAGTACTTGACCTCACAATCATTGCGAGGTACTTGGTACGTCAAATTATTCTGTCTAATTGGATAAATATAATCGTTAAGCCTACAAATTTTGCCACTCAGTGAGTTTGTAGGTTTGAATGCCACTCTAATTAAAGCCTTGTTGAAAATTCGAAGTAAGGTTTTTCATATCCCTTGATTACACCTCATTCAGCAACCATATGAAGACGCCACATGCCAAGTAATTCACAATGGGAAGGTCAATGATACCTTTCAACTGAAGATAGGGGACAGAAGTGAGACAAGGCTGTCTACAATCACCCATGGTATTCCTGATTGTGGTCGACTGGATCATGCAGTAAACCGTGAGGAGAGAGAAGATGGGCATACGCTGTTTGACCAATGAAAAGAACCCAGGAGAAGATTTCGATTTCGCCGACGATGATTTATGTCTGATATCTTGTCGCACAAACTCGAAGATCTATAAGCAAAAGCTAACAAGTTGACAGAAAGGGGGAAGGCAGCGAAGAAGGGACTTCAAGTGAACGGAGAGAAGACAGAGGTGATGAAGATACCCAACCAACACCGACACCACCACCAACAACAACAAGCTCCCATCACCATCAACGGGAGAAACTTAAAGGAAGTAGTTTGTTCCGCCTACCCACCTAGGCAGCATCCTCTCAACTACAGGCGCCACAGGCACAGACGAAGATGTCAAAACCAGCCAGGATCGAAAACACAGCAAGACAGGCGTTCATTAACCTGAAATCAGTGTGGAGATCTTCTGCACTCACCACAAAGTGTGAACAACATCCGGATTTTGGACACTAATTCAGTCAAGTCAGAGCTTCTATGTGATGGTTAAGAGACTTGGTGCGTTACGAAAGGCACTTCCAACAAACTACAGATATTCATTAACAACTGTCTACACTGGCTCGTTACTGAAGCTCAGATGGCCAGAGTAATAAGAATAACCAACAAGGAATTCTGGCTGTCCTCACAACAAACCAACCAAGAAATACTTAGAAGGAAGTGGAGATGGATTGGGCATGCACTGAGAAGACCATGTGGGGACATCACGACCCAAGCCAGACCCTCGAGTGGAATCCAAAGGGAAAATGTCGAGTTGGGCATCCGAGGTGATGGTGATATGGAGGCGATAGTGTGAGGAAGAAATGAAAGCTTGTGGGCAGTAGTGGATCCATGTTGAAAAGACTGTAGAGAAGAGAGTGCAGTGGAGGCGTGCTACTGAAGCCCTATGTTCCACTAGGAACATAGGGAAAAATAATAATAAAATTGGTAATCCTATGGTTATTGCTTCCGTTTGTTGGTATATTTTATATTGGAACTTGAAAACTGTAGCGATGAAACCTACCTGAATTCCCAACGTAATCTTTTATATTAGTACCCTATTTCTGTAAGTAAGCTTAAGATCACTGTGAAGTTCTTTGTTGCCAGCCTTAAGAGACATACTCTGATAAGCTTATCAGCATATAAGGTTGTCACTTCAAATTTAATCATCCTTTCATCTTATATTATACATGAATATTATTTAACCTTTGCTTCTATATTAGACTTGGTTATTTGATATATAGCACATAGTAATACAGTATTATTTAGTTGATGACGTTTCGAGCATGAATTGTCATAGCTCATAATCATATCAATGTAATCAAACCACTTTCAATATCTGATTTTCATAGTCCTATCACTTTATATTCTTTGTTTTTATTGATAGCATAGTTCTTCATATCTCTAGTATAGGTGTCTTGCGTCATTCGTATTACATGTGTTGGGTGTAGATTCGATGTGTAAAGCTTGAGTAATCTCTCTATGTGTCTAACTATAAGACTACTGATAATGACAAATTCTCATATAGTAGTGCTGATATGCTAGACAAAAGTATTTGTACTTAGTCATGATGAACATATGCCATAGTCATTACAGATACGGGAACAAATTAGAAACAGACATTGCACTTTTAGGTAGAATTGGATAGATCAAAAGAATAATAATTTAGTAACCAAAAACACATTTCTTTACCACTCGTATATGTCGACCTACTGTAATAACCGAAGTGGATATCATGAGTTTGGACACTGATTACTCTAAATCAAGAGAATATGACAAACTAGTTAGTAGACACATACTCGTATTGAAACCACTCTTGTTGATCTGTACATTTCACCAGCTAACCATATTATAGTGACCTAAGTACCCAACTGCTGTTTCGCTCGTTTAGTGCCAAGTTGATCAGCGATGGACTCGGATAAATTCAGTTCACAGACACAAATTAGTTCAGATCACTCGGATCCAGCTAGCTGCCTTGTATGGACCTGTATACCTAAAACAGGAAGATCAATTTGTAAACTATTGCCAATTTCCACGGTCTACGATGATATTCCTAACTGTTGAGTGGGTTTCTTTCCAACTTTCAACTATGATGTCAACGTGGACAGTGCAATTTGTAAATCATCTGAAAATAATAATTCTATTTTAATGCATTTTTGAGATGAATGAAGGTTTTTACTTCGAGGTAGTATTCATCACTGGCTGACATCAGTTGGGGAACCATTGAGAATCTTGGAGCACTGAACAGCTAGTTCGTCCTAGTATGGGACTCCTCAACCGTATGCACCAACCAACCGGCTACGGATCGAACTCAGAACCCTCAAGTTTCACGGCGAACGCGCTAACCATTCAGCCACTGAGTCGGTTTTCAGTGGTTCACAGTCTCCAGCTTTTGTTCAGTGCTCTCAGATTTTCAATGGTTCCCCCAAATGATGTCAGTCCGTGATGAATACTACTTCTAGATTCTATTTTAGTCAGCAAACAGTCAAAAAAGTGACTGACCTATAAAGTTGACTGATTGAATCATTGTATTGGGTAAAACTATGAATAAAATAAACAATAATATAGAGTAATAATACCTGTTCAGCTATATTCAACTCAACAATATCCAAATAGTTGACTAACTGATCATGTTGGACACGAAAAGCTTCTTTTTGATAAGATTCTTTGCTTGAGTAGTGTAAGTGTTTTGAAATGTCTACAGAAGTTGTCGTCAATGTTGATGAAGAATAATCAATTTTTTCAACAGAATTTCGATTTAAACGACGTGGATGTAAAGGAATAACTTGACAAAATGTTTTTTCATCTTTTAAGTTAAATGTTGAATCAAAATACAAGGCAGGAATGGAAGAAAGAGAAGTATCTGGTGATTTTTCATTGCTTGAAACTAAAACATCAAATGTATAAGGAAAAAAGATATAAATCCAAATAAAATATTAATAATTTAGAAGTAGTATTCATCATGGACTGACATCAGTTGGGGAACCATTGAAAATCTTGGAGCACTGGACAGGCATTTCGTCCAATTATGGGACTCCTCAGCAGTACTCACCCACGATCCGGTTAGGGGTCGAACTCAGGGCCTTCAGGTTTCACGGCGAACGCGTTAACCATTCAGCCAGATGGGTATCACGAAGCTCCCGTGAGAAGCCATGACCTGTGGGGTCAACCAGTCATGAGTGAAGTAAATGCTAACTGAAGACTTTGGGTGATAGTCGCGCTATGTCATGATTTGACAGAAGTTGGAAAGTGTGAACCACTGGAAACCGACCTAATGGTTGAGTGGTTAACGCGTTCGCCGTAAAACCTAAAGGCCCTGAGTTTGATCCATAGCAGGTTATGGGTGCGTACTGCTAAGGAGTCCCATACTAGGACGAAACAGCTTTCCAGTGCTCCCAGACTTTCAATGGTTCCCCAACTGATGTCAGTCCATGATGAAATATTTATACATCACCAATTAAAACATACATATAAATACAGATCGTCATTGAGTACGAGAAAATTTGATACATAATGTTACAAAACACGTCATTCTGTGAACAAATCTAGAATATCTACTTAGATAATACTTTCAAGTCTGGCTAATTATGATCTATGTAAATAACATACACGACAAGAGCATAACCTCATTTCGATTCCGGTATTTTGCTACATACTCCTAGTTTTGCATAACTTTTGTCTGATGTTCCCTAGAACCTTAAAATAACTCATCATCACTGTTTTCGCACCGTAGCTAGCTTTTGCTTTTCTACTGCTCTGAAGGCTGAATTCTCATGGGTTGTCAAATCTTTCAACCTAAATATCGATTTAGTGTTGCCAAGGTCATTTAAAAATGTATATACTCAGCATCTCTGTCAACTTTATTGACTTTTGTTGAGACAGTGAAAGCTCTCTGTCAACGGTGTCTTTGAGCATCGTGGTATTGTTGTAGTGGTGGTTGACGTTCTGATTAGGGTTAGAGTCGATTCGTTTGTGTTTTAGATTCGTATTGCTCGTAGACTGTCAGGTTGCACTAACGGTCCACTCATATATGATTGATTAGTCAACGCAGCTACAACTAATAAACAAGCCAATAAATTTAAAATAACTTTTTTATCCCGGAACGCTTCTTCATCAACCCCCAGTTGACTAATACCTATGAAAACCGGAAGAAAAAATAGTTTACGCGGAAAATGATTATGTCTAGCACAACATTGAAACGACTGCCAACTCAACGAACAACTCACTCTAAACATCATCACCCTGAGATACAAATAACTACTACAACTCCTAAGCGAACTGTCAAACAACTTCCTCAGGTAGCCTAAATAGACAAAAATGCTAAGTAACAACAATAAATCTGACCGTAAACTACATTAGATAGAAGGTAGAGGTTATGTAGATGAGCAAGAAACAAAATACAAGCGATTATCTACTTTAGACTACTTATGTCAACATTAATATATCTTCTTGTAAGTACTTTCAATCAGTAAAATGAGAGCTTCCAATTATTTTTCAAAAAGACTGATTGAGAGAAGAAATATATTCCTTTTCAATTAGGTCTTCACCTTGGGCTCTACACTAATATGCATAGTTTTACAATTTAATCAAATTACCAATCACGTGGTGATGTTTCTGAAATAATGATGTAAATAATCAATAGGGTTACTAAATTGGAAATATGAATATTGATAGAGACAAGAAGGGGAAGAGATTTACAAAGTAAACCTAGAAGTTACATCAAGTTGACGGCCACGGTAATGAAAGTAGTCGAACAAACTTCTTTTGGATACAAAGGCTAGGTTTGTAAAGGTGGATTGTAATCGCCTCTGCTATGTGAAGTAACCGACTGCGTAATCCATATGGTAAATTAATTGGAATCTGATGGATGATTTTGAAGGCTTTTCCAGGAACCACTTGATGTCGTGTGTCAACTAAGTGTCCAAGTGTGGAGCTATTTATTGTTCTAATTTTTCCCTTGGTCAACCATGATGGATGGTGCTCGGAAATTCGACGATAGAACTGCCTCATTGTACGCCCAATGTAACTAGCTCCACAGGAGCAGTTGAATTGATAAATGCACATAGAAGTGGCAGAATCAGGCAGTTTGTCCTTATTTCTTGCACCCAGAATCGCGCGGTTGTAGGAGGTGAGACATAATTTAGCGGCTGGGAATGCTTTATGCAAGACTCTTCAATTGATTGAATCACTGTTGGGAAACAGTAGGATACAGAACAGTATAGATAACAGTAGTAATTGAACCATTTCACATGAAAACCACTGGCATTATATCCCACAGTTATACTAAGGCGATAGAATGAAAAATAAGTAAATATTCCCAGTAAATTTCATAATTTACGCTAGATTATGGATTTGAAAATCCTTTTGGGTCAGATATGATATATTCAATCACCATGATAGTCTCATATATCTAACTATAACTCTTCGTTCTTATGCATCTAAATAGATGGAAGCTAATAATACACTTAACCCAATTATCTTTGACGATGCCCGTATTTTCTTATGCTTGTTTAAAGATAAAAAGATGTTGGTAAAATAATTATCAGTATGTGGAATGCCAACTGTATTCACAGCCAAATAAGATACTAAATAATGAAGAAGAATTACCTGACACATGTCTAGTACACAGTTGTCTCGATAATATGGTAACAAAATTGAGGATAAAGAAACCTGTAGAAAAGTCTCGAGTTATATATAAAACACACTAACAGGTCAATATCTTGTACATGGTTAACTTTGCAATAAGCCTTTAGTTGTTTTATCACCTTTTCGATTTCCAAAGAAATCAATCGACAAGTGAAAACGACAGATAGATGTGGGAATCCCACCGGAAAGAGTTAAGGAATTGCTATTGGAATGCACCATGAATGTTCACTTTATGTGTAAAAACGAATCATATCGACAAGTAGATAGGGTTGCAATGTGGTCTCCTGCGGGTCCCATGCTACCGGTCATCATTGTTGGCCAAACTTGAAAACGACACATTTAGGCACACACTGGATAAACTAGACTATTACTGCCGGTATATAGATTATACGTTCATCACTTGTAAGAATGGCCACGATAAAGATGATCTCTTCAATACCTTCCATAAAGTTCACCCAGCTATGGAGTTCATTTACGAGGAAGAACAAGGGAATAGTATTCCTTTCCTAGATGTCCTCCTCACCAGAAAAACGGATGGGTATATTAAAAATAATATTTTTCGAAAGAATACATGGACTGGTCAATATATTCACTTTCATAACTTCACACCGATTCAATATAAAATAAATCTGGTCAAATGCCTGAGTTACAGGATAAGAAAAATTTGTTCTGATGACTGTATTGAAGAAGAAATGAATAAGCTGAAGATAACATTGCAACAAAAGTTATCCACTAAACTTCATAAATAAATACATGTCGAAACATAGAAGATAAAGAAAGATAATGTTGCTAAGAGGCCTTCACATATTACACGAAGTTTCAAAGGTGATAGTATCTCGGATATCTTAACACATAGACTAAGTAGATTAGTTGAAAGGACATCTAATGCAGCGAAACTTTTTGTCAGCTTCTCAACCAAACCATTACTGACACAGCAAACCAAGGATAGGTTAACTATGATGACCACTTCAATGTGCATTTATGAGTTCAACTGCTCCTATGGAGCTAGTTACACAGGCCGTACTCAAGGGCTTTATCCATGCGCGTTCGTGAACACGTGCCAGCTTGGTTAGGGAAGGGAATGACAAAGAGCATCAACAGTACAATCATTTCACATCTAGTAGATACCGGACATCAGATTTAGGTAGATCACGCCATTTCTGTGATTTACCGTGTCCCTTACAATCTCCCTAAAGGTGTACGACTTCACACCTTATCCATAGCCGAAGCCATAGGGATCAACGCAAGAAAACCGGACCTGTGTGTTCACAATAAATATGTACATCCGCTTTGTTTACCTTGGCCCACAACATGGTCGACACCTTCATAAACTTCCTTACTACAAACTGCACATTTTACCCTCCCTTTCTTCTCATATTGTCATTACTTTGATGAACATTCATTTTCCTATGCCATTAGTTTTACGCCCTTCTTTAATCATACCACAATCAGTAGTCATTTTCAACCGTGACGTAATACTACACATTTTTTATTCTATATTTCGTCACAGTATTCATATGATTTTCATCCCATCTGAATATAAGTCATCGCAACATAATTAAAATTTGACCCTTAGTAAATAAACACACACATTCATGCCTCAATAACAGCATATAAATGAATCATTATCTGTAGATTTTGTCTCCTCATTTCGTAATTGTTCTGTCAATATTGATTTCTTTGTACAACTAACACACTAGACTGATAACCATTCCATTCGATTTGATCTCCATTCACCCATAACACTGGATGTTTCAATATAGTAATAACTGTACATCATGCCTTATTTCAGCCATTGTATTTCACTTATTGTCATGGATTTATAACTGCAGAGCCTGAAGAAGAAGTTATTGAAAACGATTGTTCGCTTGCTGAAATTATTCTTGTTCTGAATAATCTATGTGGCTCGGTGGTGTAGCGGATAACGCTCTTGCGTTTGAAGGGATTGGTCCCAAGTCCGAATCCCGGTGGGAGGCAGGTACATCCAGCTGAGTCCCAAATAGGACGAAATGCGCATCCTGGATTCCACTGCTAGCCAGTACCACTGTTCACTGAACAATATCACTGATCGAAATTACTTTGCATAGGCGACTAGTTCACTTAAATTCCTATGTTTTATAGCTGAAAGTCATTATTACTCGCTTAACAAACAGGAGGAAGATGTGTGAAATACAGTAACTAATTTGCCGAAATTCCCAGTCTACCTAAGATGATTCCAACCACTTCTTACAAATAAGCCGTTCCAATGTTATTTGATATTTATGCCCCAGTGACCTAGTGTATAACGCTTTGGTATTTGAAGAGATGGGTACTAAGTTCCAGTCTTATTGGGAACGACATCACTCATCCACTGAGGTGCAGGTACACCCAAATACGATGAAACGCACGTCCTAGATTCCACTGCGAGTCACCAAGAGGAATACGCACTTCAACTACACTGTTGTGTTCGAAGCCGACGTTATAAAGATATTCCTGATAGACACAACTACATGACAATATACATCAACGGAATACATCATCTACAAAATAGTTGTCAATTATGCATTAGATTACATACTGAAATGAAGTCCTTAGCTTCTGGACAACTATCACAATCAACACAAGTACCACTGAAACTTTTCCACAAGACTATGAAAGATTTACAGCTCAACTAGCCGTGTGTATACAAAACCTTTTCAACATGTAGTCAGAATATATTTTCAATCACTTGATAAATTCTGTTTCCCATCCAATTAGAATTCATTTTCATAAATATATGTGATTTTTCAAGTTGATATTATTCATCATGGAATGACATCAATCAGAGAACCGTTGAAAACCTAGGAGCACTCGGCAGTTATTTCTACCTAATATGTGGTTCCCTAGCAGTGCATACTCTCGAATACGCCAAGGACTGAACCCAGGACCTTCAATTCTTGTGATGACTACGCTACCATTGAGTCACGTGGTTCACATTCTTCTACTTTTGTCAAGTCGTGATATGACGTTACCATTATCAAATGTCATCATTAAGTATTTGCCCTCATGTCACATAGTGAATTGATAAAAGTAGGGAAATGTGTCATTGGATTTCGACTAAGTGGTTCAACCGTAACATGGTCGTCACCAAAGCTGAAGGTCCTGGCTTCTAGCTATAATGCTGCCACGGTTATGCACTAGTGACAAGTCCCATACTAGAGTGGAACAGCCGTCCAATGCATTCAAGTTGCCAATGGTTCCCTAACCAATGCCAGTCCATGATGAATACTACTCTGACGAAATCAATAAATTCAACTTATAACTTTTGGCCAACATTCGACGAATGTACATAGATATTAACAAAACATGATACAGTAGTAATTATTCTCAAAGCAAACAATACATACCTTTATTGGATGATTTTACTGGAGAATAGAAAGAAGAAGAGGAGGAAAGAGAAGGCGAAGGAGAATTACCACTGGATGAATTCCAAAATGAATTAATCTGGCACTTGGGTGATGATGTGTGTGAGTTTGCATCAACTCTACGAACTCCAAGTTTAGTTAAATACTCTTCAAAATGTTTCTCTGTAATTACTGGTAAATGTGGACTGGGTAAACTTCAACATTTTCAAATTTATCACCCCATAATCTTGAAAATATATCCACCTAATAATGAAAGAAAAAGGCGTAAATGAAAACTAAAGTGATATAGGTGAAATCGAATGGAAATAAACTCAGTAACCCTGAGCACACATTCTTGCAGTAGGCAATGAGCCACACCTACCATGCGAGGGATAGTCGTACTATTATTTGACCGCCCAAACCTTGGTAGGTGGAGCAGTGTTAGAACCAGTGACCTGATGGCTGAAAGTCATCCTTCTAAAGCAATGACCCACAGCTGTAGGCAGGCAGTCTAAGTAGGTTTAAAAACAGAAATACTCATCTTACGCCATTACGAAACGATCATATTGAATAGTTAGAATGGTTATGAAATGATGGAGGAACGACATCAAACCATAAACAACGATCATTAAAAATGGACAAATAGACTTATTCCGAAGACTCCAATGAAGAAGTTTATACCACCTTGAGAGAGACAAACTAAAATCAAGAGGAGAGCAGATAGAAACTTAGATACCAGTGTTTATAGGAAACCAACACATTCAAATAGATACTTGGATTTTACATCACCTCATCCTACATCTATCAAAGTAGGCTTGATAACATGTCTGAGTGATAGAGCCAGGGGGTTTGACTGGTAAGTCAGAAAACCTAGATAAGGAACAGAAATACATCAAAGATAAACTATTGCTTGATAACTACCCTCCTGAATTTATTCAGAAGTTTATAAGAACTGATGAGAGAAGGAGTGATAATGTTGGTGGTGATTACAACATACCAAAGAGGGATTTCAAATCCTCTGTCGTCTTCCCGTATAATAAAGAAGGCACATCGGAAATTTTACGTAGGATTCTTAACAATGCTGGATTCACGGTGGCATTCAAACCCACAAACTCGCTCAGAGAGAAACTTTGCAGGCTAAGAGATCCAATAGAGTCAATTCAGAAAAAATAACCTAATCTATCAAATACCATGTAATGATTGTGAGGTCAATTATATAAGTCAAAGTAGCGGATCTTGGTCAGTCACAGAATAGCAGAACACAAAAATTTAGCGAAGCATACAATAGTTGACCCTATCTGAGGTAGGCAATTTAACTAAAACCTCTGCATGCACTGATCCATAATCACACTATACAGTGGGATAGGAGTGTCTTTAAAGGCTACCTTAGTAACTGGTGAAATGACTAATCAGGTTTCGGTATTTCGCCTGGAAAAGCACTTTTCCATAAAATAAAGGAATGTAATTGGCTGTCGCATCAGTTGCTAGGGTAGCCTTCAAAGTCATACAAACAAATGAATGAATTGGTGGACTATATAAAGTCTGAAAGTTGTGTAATCATTTTGTTATGAGTGAGTAATAAATTCTGCTCGAAATGTCATCCAATAAATTATACTGTGACCCTGCGTACCATATCATAAAAGCAATCTACTATAGAATTCTCCAACTTCTGTAGCGCCACTTTCGCAATACTATGCGCGTAAAGTAGAAACATTGAAGATAGTGACTCACCGCAAATAATATGATTGAATAACTATGCCTGCCTTATGTTATTCACCTTAAGCAGTCACGTTCCACAGTTTCATGGTGTTCGGCATTGAACTGTTGAACAGCTGACTCATTTTTGAGTAAGTAATCAGATATCACTGTCATACACAAATAGACTAATAAATAATCAAGTGAACCTTCTAAAGTCATGCTAAAAATTTCAGAGCTGTTGCAATGACTAAAATAAGTACGGTAAAGCAATGAAATAGACTACTCAAATCCTTATTGTCAAGTATCATTGTACAGGATCGTCTTGAAATATAGTCGGAAATATATTCCATTTCTGGATTCCACCATTTTAATGTATTGAATATTATTGAGCGAACTACTGACTATCTTCATCCCGCATTAAGCTAAGACATTCGTCTATTGCCTCAGACAACGCGATAGCCAATAATAATGATAACAATCGCCTTATTCCAAACAATATATACGATACAGTATGAAATTCTTAGTATGTAATATTTCAACAAAGTTACTCCCAGAACAATCACTTCAATTGAAATGATCATTTGAATGATGTTAATACTAACCGTATTAAAGGTAATAATGTGAAATAAATAGCTACAGTTGGATGAGCATCTAGTCTGGAGAACGAATAGAAAAGTGAACGGTTAATTCAGTCAGTACAACAACCTGCAATTCAAGTTAAGTAATCGACTCAGTAAAAAGTTCATTTACATCTCATGTGATATTTTCTTCATTTTATTATTAACTCGAGAAACATTTTAAAAATGAATGCTGCTTTAATGCCAACCAGCCTTATTGAGAATTCTTCTTAATGCTTCTGAGGTGCCTTCCTTGTATGATAATACAGCTGAGACTTTGAATTCTCTCTTAACCCTGTCACCAATATTACCATTAGTAGTGGAATTATTATTAATAATACCTGTATTGCTACTACTACTACCATTGCTAACATTTTTCTTTCGATTTCTTATGAATTTATTTATAAATTTTGGTGGGTAATTGTTGAGACGTAGGGTATTCTTGATGTGTCTAATTTCTTATCATAGGTTTTCTAATTTACTAGTAAGCTTTTACGCCATATAGCTTGGGCATTTAACTAAACCTACTTTGACTGAAATCCGGTGGGAGGATCCGAAGTCTACAGACTAGTGTATGTAGGAAACCCACTCATTCGAATCGCTATTTAGACTTTGAACCCTCCCACCCCATTTCAGTTAAAGTAGCCTTAGTTAAGTACCTGAATGATAGGGTGGAAAAGCTTACTAAGAGACCAGAAAATCTACCACAAGAAATTAGATACATCGAGAATACCCTGCGTCTCAACAATTACCCACCAAAATTTATAAATAAATTCATAAGAAATCGAAAGAAAAATATTAGCAGTGGTAGTAGTAGTAGCAATACAGGTATTATTAATGATAATTCCACTACTAATGGTAATAATGGTGACAGGGTTAAGAGAGAATTCAAAGTCTCAGCTGTGTTACCATACAAGGAAGGCACCTCAGAAGCACTACGAAAAATTCTCAATAAGGCTGGTTGGCATTAAAGTGGCATTCAAACCAACAAACCCACTTAGAAACAAGCTTTGTAGGTTAAAAGATCCTATACATGCAATTAAACAAAATAATCTGGTTTACCAAATCCCTTGCAATGATTACGAGGTCAAATACAGAGGTTAAAGTAGTCGACCAGGGTTAATTAGAATAACAGAACACAAAAACTTGACTAAATCAAGATTAGTAGATCCTAATAAGATTAGAAATTTAGAGAAAAGCTTGGCTATAACTCTGCACACAATCACACATTAGGGTGGGATGGAGCGACAGTGTTGAAAACTAACTTAGTTGAGTGGAGGGAGAGATTGATAACTGAATCTTTGTTTATCGAATCAACACCAAATACATCCAATCGAAATGATTCTGCACTTGTACTAGATGTATGGAAAATTCTACTACCCTTGTCATCACAGAGAAGGAGAGAAAATTAGGACTACAAAAACTCTGTCTCGAAGTTGTGGAGTTACCTGATATCAATATGGACACATTATCCAGTAAATGATACTGTTCCTTCACTGTGTGATATTTCTAATAAACAGACTAAAATGGAATTACAATCCACCACAGTGCCCAAGTTTTACAAATTAATGATTATTTCACAAAATACGACTTTTAACAAACAATTGTTGTATTTTTGAGATGAATAGGGATTTTAATTTCGAGGTAGTTTTGATAATAGACTGATATCAAATGGGGGGAACCGTTGAGAACTTAGGAGCACTGGACAGCTGTTTCATTCTATTATGGGACTCCTCATGCTTCCAGAGGGATATCACGAAGTTCTAATGAGAAATCGTGAACTCTAGGGTTAACCAGTCGGAACGAACGCGGATGCTAACTGAATACCTTAAGTCATAGTCGCACTATATCGTGAAGTGACAGAAGTTGGATACCGTGAACCACTAAAAACTGACTCAGTGGCTGGATGGGCAATGCGTTCGCCGTGAAACCTGAAGGTCCTGAGTTCGATCCGTGGTGGGGTAAAGTCATGAAAGCGTACAGTTGAGAAGTCCCATAGTAGGACGAAACAATTGTCCAATGCTCTCAGATTTTCAATGGTTCCCCAACTGATGCCATACCGTAATAAATACTACCTCTAAAAAATTGCTGATCACTGGAATCGTTCATACAGCCAATGATGTTCAGTTAGTCCTTTCATTGTCGATTATTGGTGATTGAGTCGTGATTGAAATCAACATCATCAGTGATAACTATGACAGTATACATCATATCATGATCCAAAGTCTCTCTCACACACAGCAGAAGATAGATCGATGTGAAACTCTTTTATACAAAAAAATGAATGTACAAAATAAACAAATGAAAATGCTACCATGTTTAGAACATAAACCATATTTAATGAGTAGAAAGAGGCTAATATTCATAGGTATTTGACTGCACAAAACTCGATAAGAAGAGTGAAATTGACATCAAACAAAAATGTATTGGTAAAAAAAAAAACAAAGTTTACCAACGTAGGTGTAGTTTATTGTTCAAATCAGTTTTTAGCACTCATCACAAAAACCATACATTTAGTGAACAAATTACTGATTCAAAATGCAAATAAGTTCATTTTCCATGATTGAAAAAAAAGATAGGACCTTTTCGATAAAGACAATATATATACAACAAGGAATCTTACAATGTATAGAAAACCGACGTAGACTAGACAGTACCTTAACTTTCATAGTTTCTGTCCAATATAGCATAAACGAGGTTTAGTAAAATGCTTATTTAAAAGAACCCAACGCATCTGTGCAACAGATACATTGGAAGAAGAATTCGAAATTGTTAACAGAGATAATTATGGAAAGATGTCTCAACTGTGTGAACTAATCAGTATTCTATCCCGAAGAAGGATGTTTACATCACGCTACCATATAAGGGGGAATCAAACAGCATGATCTTAAGACGAAGACTTAATTCAGTTATTAAAAAGACATACTACTCAGTTAAGCTCAATATTAT